CCCTTGCACCGTCACCAGGTTAATATTCCCCTGCACTGCCCCCCAACCGGGATCTGTCGCCACGTCACCCACTGCTGGCCCAGGCTGACCACCAGCTGGGTGAAACTCCGACCCGGCATCTCCCGAGCAAGTGGGGCCTACGCCGCCGAAGTTGTTCATCGTCTCCCCCTCGCTGCTCGCCGACGAGTGCACGCTCGACCTCGTCAGAAAATCGAACGTGCTCACCGCAGCCTTGGCCGGCGCCGGAAACCCGCCGCCAGTTGTCGAGCTCAGGGCGTCACTCCGGCGGCTGAACTCTTCAATCGAGCTGAAGCAGTCGTCATCGTCCCTGCAATCCTCCATCAGCTCACGCGCGAACTTGATGGCCGCGGTTGGGGACGGGACGCGGGCCGCCGTGCCCTGCTGCTGCTGCTGCGACTCCATGGCGTCCACCTCGGCTAGTAAATCGGACACGTATTCCTCGCCGAGAGAGTCGAACTCGATAGTTTCGCTTATCGTTAGCCAGTTGTTTGGGGGGGCAGCGGATGGGCCAGCATCTGCGGGTTTCGGGGGAGCGGGTGAATACCCGAACCAGTCATTTTCGACTCCCGGTAGCTGGACCTCGCCAAGGCCCGGCCCGGATGGGCTGGTCCAGACTTGGGCAGGGTTTAGATCCGGGAAATTCACGAATTTGGTCTCGGCTGATGTCGGATGAAGCGCATTGTCCTCGCTGTTGGGCCTCGGTGTTGGGCTGAGAAGTTCAAGAATCTCGAAGTTGTGGATGGGGACGTCCGGCTGGATTTCGGCTGCTGGCTTCGGCTGAGCAGGGCTGAGTAGTAGATCTGAGAGAGGTATGCTGCTAACATTGTGTTTATTATCCGGATTAGGCTCGTTTTCAATATCATCCTCCAAGCCCAGGTCAATGGTCAGAGATTTTAAGAATTCTGAAGGTGTGGGCCCCACACAGTCATCATTCTTGGATTGGTTTTGAAGGTCCTGAACGGTGGTGGCGATTGGGCTTTCCGTGGGCCCAGTCGAGATTTTTTCTCCATTTTCAATCTCCTGGCACTGATCTTGCAGGACAACAGGTTGTGTATTATTCTCAAGACTAGATGAAGGAAGCAAATCATGTGCCTCGGCATCGTTATGACTGACTTGAGAACTATCATTGTTATCCTTGAGCAAATCCCAACACTGTGGCCACGAGCCAGATGCATCTTCCTTTACGGGCTCAGTATTGTTTTCGGATGTAATGATGCCCGTATCATTAGTAGCCAAGGTTGGCGGCTCTGTTTGTTCACTATCTCCTCCACTGCTGACATTTGTACCCTCACTTGGAACCTCAACTTCTCCCGGCGCTACTTCCTCTTTTTGCCGCATGCCAGAATTTGATAAATCTGAGGCCAAGTGGAATTTCCCATTCAGGGCATCTGTGAGAAGCAACGAGTCGTACTGTTCGTGATTCGTCCATATTCTCATGTCGGGTGGAAATAGTCCAGTTGTGCTCCATTTTCTCAGCTGAATCATGGAAAATGGTCCCTGAATCTTACTGTTAGGATCTCGATAGTGCCATAATTTCTCGGTCTCGATTACACTGGACGGTGGTGGTGAATTTCCCACTGAGGCAGTTACTGTTGAGTTCTCTAATCCAGAACTTTCGATGGCTTGATCAGTTTTACTACCGGTAGCTGAGTTAGTAATATTTACATGATTTGAGTCTTTGTCCGAACTACTCAATCCGCCTGCCTTGATTTTCTTTCTCCCTCTATTCCATGTCTGGTTTGTCCTTTCTTCTTTATCTGAGCAAAGAAGTAATTCAAGAAGTTCGTGTGATCAAAATTTCGTTAGAATAGAAAATAATTGGGAAATCTTATACATGTAACAGAAAATAATTTTCGAAAAATTATATACAATGTAGGGTCTAACGGTTCACCTTTTTTCCTTGGAGAAATAGGCTTCCTTCCATTTTGAGGAAGATCCGAGTAGCTTGGTCTTCCATGTTCGTCTGTACATTGAAGTGCAGCATCAGAAACCCGAAATTAGCAAAAATTTAGAAAATTGAATTAACAAATAGAAAAAATTCAAGACTGCAAAAGACAAACGATATTACCTGCTTTACTAATGTTGTCACTTCTGGCATCTTCCTCTGATTCATAATCTGGATTCATTGTTGGGTCCGCATGCACCTCTGGGATTTCGGAAATTCTTCGATTGCGCTCTTCGGGTGATTTTAGCAGTTGCAATTTGTTGACATGCGCTCTAAGCGTGAAAAGAGTCAAGGAACTCGAGGAAATAAGTACAAAATCTATTTTACCATAATGATCTATTAAAATACATAAATAAAGCCATAGAGCTGCTTCATATTTCATTTTTGCTTTTTAAATAATAATAATTTTTTTTTATGTAGCACATTTTACAACTTCAATTTATCCATCATGAAGGTGGTATGTCCCATTTTGCAGACTCAGGGCTTTAAACACATGTATACACTAAAATAAAGGAGGTATTTTATAAGCAAAGGATATTCTTTCTTGCGTCCATTCTCGCTAGCTCGATCTCTTAAATGATTTAACCGCAATATCTCCGCCTCCAGCAACTGTTTCGAGATTAACCGAACATTAAAAACACTGCAGAAGAAAAAAATCTCGAGAATAACAGAAAAGAAAAACCAAGAAACTCACATCATCGACCCTTACAGGTTGGAGTGCCAAAGCTTTATTTTGTATCTCACCCTTCAAGAAGAAACAAATGTCATACAAAAGAATTAGGAATTTAGGATTTCCATACAAGAATATTTTGAGATAAATAACCAAATGAGTACTCACAACAGTATAGTGCTTCACAAGCCCACATCTTATACTTTGACGTAGCCGTTTGCATTCATCCTGAATACCAAAAAAAGATTATGTAACGGCAAATAACATATGAAAAGATATTCATAAGATGGACATCACATTGGTGTAATAGTATATTCAAAGAGATACAATAAAGATGGCAATTCACAGTCGTGACGTCAACCGCAGCCTAATCAATACCTTCTTTGTTACATGTACATACAATCACCAATTATAGTAAGAAATAATAATCATTTATTAAATTAAATTATCTAATGATGGGCAAATTCAACTTCAACTGGCATAAATCCCTACCTAAGAGTCGATATGCCTTTAAGCAGAAACATATTTATTAAATGATAAAAAAAAAAAAAGAAAAAGAAACCTGATCTTGAAAGTTTGAATAAATGATCTTAACAATGCGTCATCCTTTGTAAATAATTTTGTATCTCTAATACCTCTATAAAGTCTAGATCCGAAACGGCATCAATTGATACAACTTCTTTCTTGTCCAAGTTTAAAACTTCAAGCATGAAATCTACCGTCCTGCCGCCAACTTTATACGGCTCGTCAACCTTAGTAGTCCCTGAATCAAACATGTAAACACGGACAAAAATCAGGCCAATCCAAGGAAGAAAAGCAAGCCAAAGTATGCATTTTACGTAGATGTAATGCACTTTACCTACTACTCGGACGAGCCGGTGTATTTCTGGCTTCTGATCATTACTCGATATTTTAATCCTCACAATAGAACCAACAACCTTATCACTAAAGTCCTCACGGCCATCAAGAAGTTTCTCCATCAGTTTACACCTCAAATAGATCAAATTAATGTTGTGGGCGTCAATTGCCGCATATTCATCCAAGTTATTCTGTTGTGGTGCTGCTCTCTGGTCACTCTTTTTACACGTTTTCCGTTTTCTACTGTTTGCCGACACTTGCACTCCGTGCGTATCCCCACCACAAACCTCAATCTCACTAGCAAGCGAACTACTAACAATCCCTGCCGGAATAAAACAATCCTTCTTCGAGTCCTCCTTGACGAGAAAGTGAAACTCGAGAAGTTTCAGCATCTCGATGTGGCCTACGCGTGGCTTGCCGAACAAGTTTCTGAGCCTCTGATCACACACGATCTGGCTCTTCCGACGTGGATCCCGCAGGTTGTTCTTCTTTATGTAGTCTAGCAGAAGTGTCTGCACGTCAAACTGAGATAAAATCGATGTCTCGCCGTTTTTCATATGGGCAACCAACTCCAGCAAGTCCTTAGTTGCCCACTCGGTGTTAGTGTTGTGAATTTCTTCTTGCTTGTCGGGTTCTTTGTTGTCAGTGGTGTTCTTGCACAGGCAACTCTTCTCATTAACTTGGGTATTATTATTATTCTCTTCACCTTTCTTGATCACGGCTTCCTTAGTGCATGGAACATCAGAAGCTTTCTCAATGCTCGTCTCACTTTTGACTTCATCAGAAGCTTTCTCGATGCTCGTCTCACCTTTGACTTCATCCATGATTGGTTTTGGGGTGTCATGAGCTGGCACATGATTGCCAATATCATTATTTGTTTTCTCCACATTCATCTCAGTGCTTGGTGGAGGAGTTGTTTCTAGCTGTTTCAACTCCGAAATTTCTGAACGGGTTTGTGAAATGGGAACATCCACACTAACTGCACTAGTAACCTCGTTACTAGTCGCCGGCTTGTGAACTACAGTCAGCACACTTTTCCAGGGGTTTTTAGCTCGAGTCAAATCACCAAGTGTCAATGACAACTTCTCCTTTAAGATTACCCAATATACCTTAAAGAGATACTCCCAGCTTGTTATGTCATCAAAATCTACCTGAATATGCATAAATTCATTTCAGTACTATGAGCATATGTTACAAACTCCAATATCTTATACTTGTCCATGGGCAAGAAAGTGGCATCTGAAGCAAGATTAAACAAGTTGTATATTATTCGGATTATAACGAAATTAAATCAAACAATTTACATTCCGATTATAACGACGGTACATCGGAGCATAACTATCGCCCTATAACACTACCAAGGACTCCGAGCACAAAGGAGCTACATTAATTCACTCAACAAGCATTATATTTCCAAATATCAGAAACTACCATGCATACATCCGCTTTCTGCTTCTCTGTTCCCACGATAAGCAACAACAACAACAAAAAATAAAAAATAAAAAAACACATACAAATTAACTGCACTGGATTACATATGGCTCTCCTATCAAGGGAATATAATTTCAGTAATCACCAAAAAAATTCAGCGTTTTGGATTCGTTTTGATGAAGTTGATGATCGGAAATCTAAGAAAGCGCATACACATAGAACAAAAACGACTTTGATAACCAACAATTATAAAGAGATGCCCCAAAATCCATTCGTGTCAACAGATTAATGGCAGGACCATACCCTGTTCCCATATACTTAGTTAAATCTTAAATGTTAGTAAAAACATAAACGCCACGTTACAAAGATCCCCGTGTGGAGAGCCAAGAAAAAAAGTAAGGGCATTTAAATCAATTAATTAATGATTATGAAGTTAAGCCAAAAACACGTAAGTATAGTTCAAATATAGATAGAAAACTTACATATTATCCACTGCGAAAAGCATGAAGCATGCTTTTAATTATTTACCAAATCTTCACTAATATCACTACAACACGATTTTCCAGAACCTAAATCATTAAATATTAGTCCCAGATTTTATCAATACCAGATATTTCCTTCACGTACATAGATGAGCCGTAACCTGATATGTTCGTATCTTATTTCAATTAACCCCTTCCACGTTATTTGATCCAAAAGTATCTAATCCTATAGTAAGATAAATTATAACATGCAATTGCAGAAAGAGACGTGGAAAAGCACAAATAAAAAACAAACTTAAGTCTAAAAGAAAAGAAAAACAATGCAAATACATGTACAAGACATCATTTTTCATGGATCTAATCATAAGGTGCCCACAATAAAAATCCATAAAAAAACATATCAAAACATTAGTAGATGAACATACCACCCTAGTTATACCAGAAAAGTTTGAAAACCAAAAGATGAATTGGCAATGCTGATTAAATAAGAAAATTGTCTTACCATTTTGAAGTTCATCTTAACAGTGATCTACTCAATTATGTGACTCAATTTAATAAATGATAAGGAAGATTTGCATACCGACTCAGCTTTTGCTCGGTCTTTGTCTTCAATCAGCATGATTGTTTTCATGCAGATCGTGCAAAATCCTTTGTTTCCTCGGACACACACGTAATCTGCATCTTTTATACAGCCTTTGCACAATGAATAGGTGCATGTGTAGCACAAATAATGGGAAGCCTTCCTACATACACTACATATGTGCCACCCTGAAAGCAAGAAGGCCATATTTAGCCCAAAGAAAGCACACAGACAGTTAACTATACAACGGCTCTACTCATATCTTCAAGTGGGGTAACTTTAAAATGAAGAAACTTGTACAATTATCAAATGAAGTGGGATACGTGAACGAGCATACATTAGAAAGAGAAATGTGGTGTTGGGCCAATACAGCTGATTAAATGGGTTATCCAAACGTTCAAAAGAAAAATTGAAGCTTCATGCAAGCGTAGTAAATTAATGAACATCTTAAAAGTCAGTAATAGATATTTGATCAGATTTCCAAATGTAGTGCCAAAATAAGATTGAATACATAGCAACACATAAACTTTCACCATAAAGCAAGAATGTCCATGTGAAAAACAACAAAATGAAGATTGCCGTATTTCATACAAAATGAGAAAGACGAGTGGATAACATACCGCAATTCCACTTAGCTTTTGACTGGAAAAATGCTTCGTCTCGCTTAATGCATGCTGGATGATATGCCTTTGGACAGCCCCTAACAGTCATAAGAGAAATGGAATTCACTACCAGATAAAGGTGTATGAAACTCCTAATATATAACATTCAAGAACCCTACTTTGTACTAAAATTCTCTCAAAAACAGACATAGAAGTGAATGTTTCATCGAAAAACAGAAAAATAAAAATAGTAAGGAAAAAAATGGCTGCATTCTACCAATTAATTACTGAATAAACAAAATAATCAAAATCAACCAAATTAGAATTAGAACTATATTCCATGTCCAAAAAATACTAGAACAAAACTCACTTGCGATCGCAAAGTACCAGAGAACCCCCATCGAAGCAGATAAAGCAAACATCCTCCTCCTCGTCCTCCGGCTTAGCCCGCTTGGGGGCAGGGGGCTTTGCTGCCAGATACCCCTTCGGCCGTCCTCTCTTCTTCCCCTCCACGGCGGCGGCGATCACCGGAACAGCCGCCGGAGGCGGCGTCGGCTTCGGAATCGGAACCGGAGGAGCCACATCCACCGCCGCGGACGGACGTGCGTCCCTGGAACCATCTCGACCCACAGCCGGAGCCTCGGAATTCTCCAACCCACCCTCGGCACCAGCTTTAACAGCAGGCTCGTCGTCGTCAAACCCTTGCGTCTGAGCCACAGCAGCCAACAGTGTCTCTATANCCCCAAAAATTCCCTTCCGGCAACAAAATCCCACGAATCACTAGACAATCATTTGATCACAACAGAACTCCAGGCACGAGTAACCCACGCAAAAACAACAAAATTAAACACGAAACCGAAAAAGCAGAACGGACGACCATGGTCGGTGGAGCTCGAACAATTGGCAGATGGGGATTAGAGGGTCTTGGTAAATGGGGGGTTTGAAGCTATTTCTTTTTTCCTTTTTTTCTTTTGTTTTTTTTCAGCTTTCTTGCAAGCTGTAATGGTAAAGTTAAAAACTTTTTTTTTTAATTTTTTTGGATTTGGTCGGATTATTATTCTTTCGGAGAAGAGGGTAGTGGAATTCCTGCGGGTAGCCCCACCACCTCAAAAACCCACCAAGTGTTTGAGATGTGAACAGTGTGTTTTGCAAATGCTTTTTGGTGGCCTGAGAGCAGTGAATAATAGAGAGAGAGAGAGAGTCAAAGACTGGAACCGCGGCCGTGGTGGGCCGGAGCTTATTGGGGAGCACGTGATTGGATTTTGGGGGTCAAATTTTGTGGGTTGGATTTTATTTTTTTATTTTATTTTTATTTTTATTTTTATTTTTTTGGGAAAACGGTGAAAAAAATCAGTAAATATTAATGGTCCCGGATGTTGTATTCTTTTTATTTTATGGGGAGATGGCAGCAATAACTTTGCATGAATTGTGGTAATATATATAAGAAATAAGAATAAAAAAGGTAAAAGAATAGTCCTTTTGGCAAAATGGCATTATTGCTTGTATATCACAAAATCATGACTTTAAATCCTCACTGTAATTTTGTTGGCAAAATCTAATAGTCATAACTCTATTCTAAAAATCCGCCTACACAACGCAACTTTTCTGTAGGGGTCATTTTAGGTGATCCAAGAATAAGACATTGTCTACGCGAACTAATTTGTATTAGATGGTTGCAAAGTTAGTCACGCCTACATTGGCTATGCGAGCCTCAGTACTCCTAACGTAGCCTTATGTTGAATTCTTGTAAATTATAATTTATTTTTGAAAATAATAACAAAATAATAATCAAATAAAATTAATAGAATAATTATAAATATATTAGATTTTATATAATCTTTGTATTTAATCATTTTAATTAATATATTTTATATAATATATTATCTACATTATGCAAAGTGCTAAATAAATAAATAAGTTTATTAATATTTTTACAACTTGAAGCGCCACCTAGTCCCCAATTAAATAAGTTTATTAATATTTTTATAATCTATTCAAATATTTTTAATTACTATAATTTCTCTAATATTTTTTTCTTCATCACATCAACTTTAATCATTACATTATAAATATTATTAAATATATATACACAAAATCCCACTCAATCCACCGTTGAATCGGCTTTACTTAAAATTATCTCACTTTAACTCAAAATTCAATAAAAATCAGCTTTATCTAAAACTATCTCACTTTAACTCGAAATTTAATAAAAAAAAAAAAGGATTTAGATTTATATCCAATTTCTCTATAAGTATTTTTTTAATACGTGATTAATCTTCGTTTTAGTATTTTTTAGTTTTATTTAAGACTCATACTCTACCATTTTGTTTTGGGTCATGTTTTTTTAGTTGTGTGTCATTGTAACAAAATTATGATTTGATGGTGTCTATCTTCTCATTTTAACCGAATTCAATCAACTTGTTTTTCTAAAAGATAATCACATTGTATCGAATAATTAAAATATAATATAATTACAAACTTCTAACATTATAGGCACAAGAATCAGATTTTCTCATTCGTTTTTATGTTTCATTCTATATTCCTTTCCATTGAATTAATGACACGTGTAAATAATAATATTATATATATATACGTGTCAATCATCCAATTGAATGGAACACGAAATGAAACTTACTAGTGGAGTAGAAAATCTAAACCCATAAGCACCTTGTCAAAAGAAAAAGAAATGGAAAAAAAAGTTAAAACATGTTGCCAAAAAAAAAGTTCTATATTACTTCACAACAAAACATTTTCTATATTATTGATAACGAAAAAACGATGTTTTCCATTGTTAAACAGTCTAATCGTAAAATATATAAATGTATTTTTATATTTCAACTAGTACACTTTATACGTGCAATAATATTAAATACTCAATAATATGAAAAACTTAAAATAAATTATTGTAAAGAATGAAAAAAAAAAATATGCACATCATTAGATGTTTGTAAGTTTCAAACTTGTACTCCTTATATAATAATATACTTATTACATATTAAGCAGTTACCCTTTAACAAGATCTAGTATTTTCTGGATTAGCAAATTCATTTATTTATTTTTAGTGCAATTTATATAATAATAAATAAATGAATTTTACCAATTCAGAAAACGGTAGATCTTGATATAGGGTAACTGCTTATAAATAGATCTAATCCTTAAGTAATCATAATCTTTTAAAAAAATATATAACTCAAAGTATAATATCTTGTAACGATTGTATGTATTTTTGTTATAAAAATATAAGGACTCGACCAAGTTAACGAATGGGTTGTTTTTTACTAGAATTTGTGATATAGCACAGGTTACAACAATTTAATTTTCAAGAAATTAATTTATTTTTTTTTTCGGTACAAAGAAGGAAGCCGAAGGCCTATACTAGAACTTGCCGGGAGTATGATACCCCAATGTTATCATGCTCAAGTCATGCTCCTAATCCTATAGGAGATGAAGAAACTCGATGCAGACCAGTCAGATAGGAGGCCGCCAAACTCGCCATATGGTCAGCAGCGAAATTCGCTTCTCTATGGACATGTTGAACTCTAACGTCCCAGTTCCTTTGTATTAAGCCGCGGATGGCCTTAACCATCGCTTCATGAGTGCCAAAGCAGCCTTCCAAACTAGACACCATTTTTATAATGCATTGGCTCTCAATTTCAGCAATAACTCTACGATATCCCAAATCCCACGCCAATAAAAGCCCCTGAAAGAGACCCCAAAGCTCGGCTTCCGTAATGGTACAGGAACCAATATTCAAGAGAAAGCCCTCAATCCACCGTCCCATTTCATCTCGTAACAGACCGCCCGCACTACTCAAACCCGTTAGGTTGTCAAATGCACCGTTAGAGTTCACTTTAATCCAACCCGACTCCGGGGGAGACCACTGAATCATGCGGGTGACGTACGTGACAGCCCCGACCTTTATGTAAGTCGTCGCAGCTCTTGTATAGTTGTCTATTATGCTCACGATGTCCATTCGTCGGGCCACACAACTTAGGGATTTTTTTTTAAAGATCCGCTCATTCCGCCACGTCCACATTCTCCAAACCGTAATCGCGAATAAACTATTCCATCTGTCAGTCGCTCCCAGCCGCTTCGTCAAAAGATTCGTGCGCAGCCAGGCTCTTAGAGGTTGTTGGAAAAATTAGCTATCGGGTTCGGTCGGTAACAACAGCTTCCAAACAGCCTTGACAACAGGGCAGTCCCGCAAGACGTGGAGTACCAACTCACCATTGCCACACGATTCGCATGCCTCAGAAACCGAGAGATGTCGCTGTACTCGCTCAACATTGGTTAGAAGTCAGTCATTTGGAGCAATCCACAAAAGAGTCCGGGCCTTTTGTGGTGCAGGAACGCGCCATATTAGCCGCCACAATGGTCGGTCCTGATCTCTCGCTATCGTCGAAAATTTTCGAAACAGCCCGATAAGCTGATTTCGTAGAGAATCGACCATCTTCAGAGAGACCCCAGATAATGCTATCGTTGTAGGCCGTCACTTTCGAGGGGAGAGTGCCCGCTATGCGAAGTATCACAGATGAGGGTAAGATGCCATGGAAACCCTCCCACTGCCAGTTTCCATTAACATCCACATGGTCGGCTACCTTCGAAAACAAATTCACTATCTGAGCTCGGTTATGAACATGCCTAACCAGTGGCCAGTCCGTACCTAGCCACGGGTCGAGCCAGAAACGTGCCCTTAGAATATTGCCCAAGATCCAACGTACCCCGCTAACCACTTGGGGCCAAATCGTGCGGATTGTCCGTATTAATGCCGCCAATGAGATGAGTCCAAATTTTCTGAAAAATTCAAGGCATATTTTGCCTTCAGAACGCGCACCCAAAGGGTCTCCGGTTTCGTCAATAACCCCCATCCCAATTTCATTAGCATAGCACTATTATAGGACGGAGATCCTTAACTCCCAGACCCCCCTCATCTTTCGGTTTACAGACGTCCTTCCAAGCTACCAAATGTAACTTCCTCCGTCCATTAGTCCCACCCCACACGAATGCATGACTTCGTCTTTTGAGCCCGTCAGTAACAGCACACAATAGCATCGCAGTCTGCATAGTGTAGTAAGGTAGTGTGTCCAAATTGACTGAGTGAGGGTCATCCGGCCAGCCAATGATTTTCAAGAATTATGGGCTATGGTTATTTGATTGTTCGGTCAAACAGAGAAAACGAAAGGATGTAAAAGGCAAAGAAAGAAATGTTATTTGATTGTTGGAAGTTAGAAGCTTTAACTGGCAAAAAAAAAAATATAGTTGAACGGAAGCTTATTTCCAGTCTCCATTTAACCTTGTCCCTATTAACTTTTGTAAGAACTTTCATACTTTTTTGCTGAGTAAATGATTAAAAAAGACAATTTATGTAAATAACATGAAATTTCCTAGTCGTGATTATAATTGTGATAATAAAATCAAACAAATCAAGTGTTTTGACTGGAGCATGTAAAAGTCAACAAATATCTTGGCACAATGGAATAAATATATATTGAAATTAGTGTAAGGTCTTGTTTGGCAATCAGCTATTAGCTGTTAGCTGTTAGCAGATTGTATTGGCTGTTTTGACGAGCGGATTGTGTCAGCTATTTTGACCAGCAGAATATATTAGCGGTTTGTAAAATAGTGTTTGGTAAAATTAGATGTTTATAATTAGCTATTAATTTGTAAAATTGCTTCTAAGGATATTCACATTTTTTATCATCTTACTTGTGTTAAATTACTTAGAATATTAGTAATAACTATATTTTTAATACTATGTAAAGCAATTCAAATAATATTAAATGTTTGTAAAAAAGTGTTTGATAATTATGCAATTTAATATCATATGTTAATGTGTACAAATATTCATTAGGATATTTATATATTTTAATATTTTTTATGTTACATTAGTATTTATTTTGAAAATATATATTATTTTTATTTCTAATATCTACTAAAAAATAGCATAGCATATACTATAATTTATGCACAAATAAAAGACATGCATCTTTGTAAGCTACTTGTAATTTTTTGGGCGTGTGTATTAATCTGCCACCAATAACTCTTCTTGATAATTAATTAGACAACAAAATAGACAATTGAATTATTTTCTGAAAAGTTGTATTGAAACGCTGCATGTTGCAGCGTTTTTGAAGTTAGCTTTTTCATCCAAAAAGCTAATAGAAACAGCTATTTTACCAAACATCATATTTAGCTGTTAGATATGGTCAAACAGCTAAAGTACATCCAAAAAGCTAAAAGCTGAAGAAAAAGCCATTTACCAAACA